GATGCCTTTTGTCCTTCTTTGAGCAGCCATTTCATTTAATGGTGTAAACGAACCCATTTATGTAAAATACCACGACAACTTGACATTCACTTCGCGCACAATCCCTCGTTGCCCACTACATAAAGTCGTGAAAATATGTTGTGAACAAATGCTTTTTAAGAACATCCTTAAATTAATCCAACAACATGGAAATTAAAAATTATATCACTTGTACACACACACAGATACATGTTATTCTCTTTAATGAAGCTACTTTGTCCAATATATTTCACTGTCTCCTGGCAATAAAAAGGGAAAAAGAAAAAAAAAAATTGTGAACAGAATTACAAATAACTTTTAATTTATCATCTTGCATACTACAAAATGCATTCCTCAACTTTCTCAACTTTCCAAATATTACATATAATAATAAGAAAATGGGCCCTCAGTGAAATTAAATCCACATAGCAGCAGAATTAGAAGAAATATGTGTTTTTTTTTTTTACCTTGTTTCAACTTACAGACTTTTGCCTCAGAAGTTTCCTCTGGAGAGGAGGAGCTTTTAGCTTTACTTGAAGCACACTGCACATAGGGAAACTTAATAAGTTCAATTATTTCTTTACTATACATTTTTTTCGTTTCTGGTCGTGCTTTTCCACCACCACAAAGAACACCACGAGCTCCGCCGGCAGCGAATACATGAAAATTTTCCTGCGAGAGATTGATGGGGACGTCGTTTTCTTGCTATCAGCCATGGAGATTGATTGTAGTGACACCTGCTATGAGTCACTGTAAAACCCGTTTGTTGGAATTGTGAACTCATGAACACACAATAATTTTTTTTGCTGAAAACCAGTAAAATTTACCCCAAAAAAAACTATTTAGCCCGTTATTTAGGTTAATAGATTTCATATACACCAGAATAATTCAATTCATAAATATTTGATAATTAAGCTACTATAGAACCAAGCCCTAAATAAAAACCCTAAACGTGGAGCAATTAGACTATCGATTCCGTTCAGCTAGTAAGGGGCGATTCAATCCATTATGATGGTCTATGTACTACTGTGGCTGCCGCCTGGTCACCTTTTTTATAGCACCGACGTCGTTCCGCGCCACAGGCTTCCCCTTCGTGGAATTGAAACTACGCCACATGCTTTCCCTTATGAGTGATATTGATTGATCCGAAAAGCCTTTAACAAAGGTAAAAGTAATTTAAACCTTCCATCTGACTCCAAAAATGAAAATCCACTTACATATTTGTGCACTTACAAATTTTACACAATATGAAAGAAAAACGAAAGATTAGGCACCCACAATCCAGAAAATTATGCCTAATTAATCTAAAACACAACAAAGAATTAAAGATTCCATCAATACCTGCGCCTCGGGAGGCAGAATCTAGATGGGCTGAAAAGAGGCGGCCGACCACTGCGTTTTGTGGGCTCTGAGAGAAGAGGTGATAGATGCGTGCGGTAGTATGCGGACCGGAGCTGCAGTTTTGCAGTGTACCTAGGGTTCTCTTGTATTGTTTTCAGAGAGAATGGCTGAATTGTGCTAACTACAACTGAGGAAACATAAAAGCATGGAAAAGTTACAAATCAAGAAAAACATATTAGTATGTTGAAAGATAGAGAAATATGAAAGATGCAGATGAATCTCTTACCTTTTTCGAAAACAAACCAGGCTAGAAAATATGTCGTTTCTTCTTGGCAGAGTTTCTTCCTCCCGGTGGCCCCATCGCTACCGCCGTCCGCTATCCCCAGCGAGCTCGACGCCATCTCGTCGTCGTTCTCCTCTCGCTCTGGCAAGACAACGTGGTGTTCGACTACGCCACC